CAGGAGAAGTATTAAGGATTGATGAATTGATATTGTTCTCATCTCATGTTCTTTAGTAGGCCACGCATCCACTGGAAAACACAGCTTCAATTCAAGGAGTCGTCCTTTTTCTGTTTTGTTTTAAGGAGAAATGAAAGTGGATGAGCAGCTGAACAGGTTGGACATGTGTTTGAAATGGTACTCTTCTATTGTCTGTGTCCCTGTCTCTGTCTTCTCGCACCATGTTGTGCTGTTACTGCAAGATAATCCAGTATCAATCTAACAATTGGGTTTTATGTCAAGTTCTCCTAATGATCTTAAATCTTGACCATTTAGTTCATGTTTATTGTTTATATTACGTTGTTAATTTCCCCATAATGTATATGTTTACGTGTTATGTGCAATCGTGCAATTTGTTGTACTGTATTTCATGTTGATCAGTGAAATAAACGAAGCATGAAGTGTATCCAACGTTTGGTGATGATCAAAAGAGCCAAATTACACCGAAGGTCGACATCAGACAAACAAATTTATTCTTTACCACGAAGCTAGTGTGGGATATTGGTCGGTTTGGAGTCAGTTTAGGGGCATGGTTACAGTTTATTTCGCGCATGTTGCTACAATTATCTTTACATAATTAATCTTCTTTTTTATATATATAAACATATTTTACCCGGTGTGGCTTTCTTTGTTTTTTGTTCTTTTGGGTATTTTTCTAGTAATTAGCTCCCCAAGTGTTAAACACTTCCTTGGGCCACCATCCCATCTATTCAAAAACTGAAGAAAAAGTAGGAAAAAAAAAAAAAAAAGAAGATGAAGAAGGATGGGGAGAAGAAGAAGATGAGGAAGAAGAAAAAGAAAAAGCCGGTTACGCTGATGAAACACAAGGTTGCATACTTAATTACCACAACAGTCTTAAATCCCGCATTGTCTCCCAAACTCTACATGTCATCAGGCGATGGCAGCCTAGTACCTGACACATCAATCATAGAGGTCTAATCTGCTTAACACTCCACTGCTTTTTAAACGATCTTACCATATACACACTACAGGCTAAGGCATTGGAATACAAGGCGGGTGGATGGGGGTGTTTGGAGATTTCAGATCCCTCCCCCTCCCCCTCCCCCGAAATGTTTAATTTACCCTCATTCCGATCGTACTCAACTGTTGTTATATCTTACCTTATCTACTATCCTGGTAGAAATTACATGTCCACTATTATAATGATAGATAGTCAAACTGATCGCTCACTTCGTTCGCTTGCATATTTAGCAACCAGAAAGCGGATATTTGATGGGCAAAGTGGCCCCCTGCCGATGAAAGTGTGTTCATAAGCATATGCGTTGGGAAATGAACGAATGACTGGATATATTAGAATCTGTTAGATATTAAGGGGTAGGCCTAAGAAATGTTCATTCATAAAACCAATAGCTAGATATGGTGGTAAAAAATGTAGTCGGGTTTTTTTTCTCGATAAAAACTGGTTTTCAAATGAAGGAAACGTAATTCTTACTTTGCATGATACCCATCCCTACTTACTTCACCATCGACGCAAACTTCAAAGAACTACTTCATAAGTTCTGTCAATTTGCTCTGTCCAAATTTACCATTGGATTTCTGAACATATTTTAGCAGGGAAGTTTTCGTGAGTAATAGTTACTAAACCTACATAACTTTCAGCTGTTTACAGGTACATAATAATCACGTATTTGTTTAAAAGTAACAACCGATGAAACGATTTGGATTATAGCTTTCATCTCGTCTCGTGAATAATATATCTCCCCCATCTGTCTTTACTGATGACCTTTTAGTACGGTCAGCATTTATTAGCTCTTTATATGCCACACAAGGCTCACTGTGCTACGTCTTTTTTAAACTGCTTGAAGTGGATGATTGATCTTTACTGGAGGTAAAAGGATTACCATGGAGCTAATTAAGACCATAAATGAATAGTTTTGCAAGGCAATTGTGTAACGTACAGAAATTTTTACGTCAATTATGTCTATTTCTTGCGGAAAATTGCGCGTGTGGCAAACAAGCAACTGTGCACAGAGGCAAAGAAAGCAACCGAAGGGTTAATATCAGAAAACATATAGAAGATGAAAATGAAGGTTGATTGATGTATCATCATTCCATCTGTTATCAAGTTGATGCCATCTGCTCTGTCTACCAAATATATCTTCCAAATATTCATCGGCAAATCAAGGAGTCTGCGCCGGGGAAAGGGGGGGGGGGTTCAAGATCTCCTAAATATATGGATCATCTGCCACTGATAGCCCTTGTCGGATTATGGCAAATCCAACAGAGTTGTAACAATTTGTTGTATGTCTTGACTAAAGCGTAGCCAACCGTGACAAACCACGACACCCATTAATTCGTCGCTGTTTTCACGAAGTGACGGTAGTGAAAACAAATTGCATTCACTTTGCGTTACGATTTTCCTCACTACCGTCACTTCGTGAAAACAAGGACGAATTATTATAATTTATTAAATTATAACATCGTCTAACTCTGACATCATGTAATTCTTTTTATGACATGGCTTAAATACTCACTCCAAGCAATTCAATATTATGTGTACCCAGTGAGAGTATGGGTCTGTTGTAGGATGACTGTTAAATTATTCGAATCTCTTATAGTATTGTTCATGACTCAGTTCACCTGTGAAACAATTAAAACTTTTTTTTAAACATGGGATTAAATTGTAATCAATACATTACTGATGGCAATGCGTACAGATCATGCATTCAACTAGAACAATAAAAGATATGTAAAAGCCACTTACTCGTTTGATACTCCTTGTTTCTAATCCAAAAAATATACGATGGTTCATGAATTCAATGTCACATGTTATTTACTGATTCAGGTACCTCGCGATGCATACCTACACGTAAACACTTAAAATCCAGGTACCTGCGTAGCGTCCAGACGGCATTCCACAGTACAAAACAGCATTGATTAAAATCCCGGTTTTGCTCCAGTCAAGAATTCGCATGAGCCCGCGTGAATTTATCTGTAGACGGCACGTAGAACCGAGTATTGTGACAAAGATATCCTTGCAATTGATCGCAATGAAGTGCCTTTTCCGCGACAGTGTTCACCTACCACGCGTCGCTGACACTGTCACTGATAGGCTCGTGTTACCAGACGTTTGATGCAAAATATATTTCATCAGGAGCTGTCATGGTAGAGACATTAAACATCACCCGAGATCCTGCAACGACATGTACCTAGAAATATTTGATTAAAAACATTACAAGCAAATAGTTTTAACCATAAAGTTAACTATCTGATTTCAGTTACATTTATCTGGTATCGTCAGTTTCGGCAAGAAGGAGAAACAACAATAACAAAAACAAAAAGACAATTATAATTCCATATTTGTTTCAATGTTTGTCCCTCTCCCTCTCTCTCCCCTTTTGCTCTCTTTGTGTGGATTTATTTGATAACTATATTTTTCCTCTACAGTAATGAATCCTTCCAAAAAAAAAGTTGTATATATATATATATATATATTGTTCATGTTTATAAATATATATTTAGTATAATCATGTTTAACTCTCAGTCAAATGCTATTGATGAAAAAGATCAGATGTTCGACATTCATATGTCCATGACTAAAGACAGAATAATAATTAATGATCAAAATATTTATATTGTGAAGCATAGAAAATAGGCATGATACTACTACTACTCAGGAATAATAACTGCGACAGACACCCTGCTTTGCGAAGTGTAATTCATAATGGTCTACCGCCCTCTTGCAATAAAAACGTGAAATGTTTCTATTAAGAAGAAAATTGCTGTGTTATGCTTTCTTACACTTATATATTTATACATCTCAGTTGTAAAATTGAGTGGATTACAAACTACTAAATCTAAGAAAAATAATTCAGATTTCAAGATTTGAATCATTGCAATGACTAATGTATTTGTATATCCTTATATTAGGTTTTCGTATAAAGAAAGAAAATGTTAATATCGGAAACGCAAAACACAAAAACAACGACAACAGAAGGGTTATTATGAATTAAAATATTCAAAGATTATGTTTAACCCACTGACTGTAGAAGGTTTATTTTATCTGTTCATGTTCATAAATACAGGAGATCCCGATCTCTCTCTTTCTCTCTTTCTTTCTCTCTGTCTCTCTCTCTTTCTTTATCTCTCTCTCTCTCTTTCTTTATATCTCTCTCTCTCCCTCTCTCTCTCTCTCTCTTTCCCTATCTGTCTATCCCTCTCTCGTTCTCTCGCCCTCCCCCTCTCTCTCTCTCTCTCACACACACACACACTTCCAATTTCCTCCTCTACCTCTTCCCTTTTTTTACCCATTCGTCCATGTCTTCTGAACCTACTTGTAAACTCTTCTAGGACATTCACTAAAGCTGACTTATGTTTCCTTAATACCCATTTACTTCATTGTTTTCCCTCTCTGTCTGTCTCTCTCTCTCTCTCTCTCTCTGTGTTTATCCTTCCCAAATCCCCCCACCCTAATTTCCTATTTCACTCTCTATTTACAAATGTTCTTTACCCTCCCTCAATATATCTTCACTCAACATTCTTCTACTAATTACATCATTTTTCCTTTCATCGGCATTATTCAGTACTTGGACAGTTTAGCAATTTATCAGTTGGATGTTTTGATTATACCTTATGTTTAAGCTGGTGTGACTCTATACATTTTGTATTCACAACATTTCTTGTTATGATTTATATTTTGTTTCGCATAATCTTTGTTTCTTATGTCATGTTTTCAATATTACTTAAGTCTGTAAATATTTTATATACGTTGTTGTTAGTGTGCACGGATAGCAGTTTGTTAACTGAAGAGGCAACACTGCTTCATTAAAACTTGTATGAATAAATAAATATTACTATTACTTTTTTTACCAGGGAAGCCTCGTCAGCATCAATGCTGTTCTTCCTGAGGTCCACGCAATCATTATTACCCACATCAATTGCCAGGTATCCCATCAGCCCTCAAATCGACAGAAATAAAGAACACAATGCACTTCACAAAAGCGACTTCCCAATATAATCGAAGTCTATTTCAAAGTGTTTTCTTCGTTTGTACAATTTGCAAATGTCTGCTACATAGAATTAATGAGACATAGACACAAAAAACATTCCAAACAAAACATCTTACATTAACAAATATATTCAATAATAGGTAAAATATCAGTACAATAGAGTTTTGATATACATGTCAACATTTGTTTTAAAGATCTGTTTCATCAAAATATAGAACTTTTATCCAATAAACTATATCACATTCTGAAATTAAAACACAAGAGCACCGTACATACAATTTAACATCGAACATACCTTACGAAGGAAATCAATAAATAAATCTTCTTTATCAATACAGATACTACAATATTTACAGAAATGTATAATTTCAAAAAAGATTAAACGTGAATTCACTGGAAGCTTACGATGACGGTAAGTTTGTAGGATATCATACAATTCCGATAAGTTCCCAGAGTATATCGTGAGTCTTGTTAATAATGTAAAAAGTGGAGGCCTATTTTGTTTGTGGACTCTTTTGTAGCGATTCTTGGTCCTCATGGATTTAAAATGAATGAATACTCGGACTCTCAGCTTAAAGAAACCGGAATCATCGTTTCTCTTGTTTGTTTTTGTTTTTTCTGGTAGTGTCTTTTAATTTTTGAATGCCTTTATAAACTGTGCAAATATCGATATATTTCGTTTCAAAGATTCCCAATAGAGTTTCGAATATGTATAATACTTTCGAACTCGTTAAGGAATAGTTAAGACATAGTTAGTTACAGGCCCAAATACCATGGAATAGTGTTAGATAGATGGTGGGTTGTATATTTGCAAGAATATTCAAAGAAAATATCCCGAAATTAAGTTCACCTGCGTATATATATATATATATATATATACGTAATACTCACCATAAAATTTTATTTACATCGTTATAGATCATATGACTGTAAATTCATATTTACATAAAATGTAAAATCACAGTAAAACGCCATTTCAATAGGTAATGTTCGATAAATCAGAAACGTGTATCACTAAAAATGTATTAAATTTCACACATATTTATCATTAAAACATTTCAAATCCGAAAAAATGTAAAACTCGAGGTAGTATATACAATTTGAGACAACAATCGATACAGGATACGAATATTTAAGAGGCAACACAGATCATTCACAAAACTTAGCCTCATCGTAAACAATTATCATGATTTCTATTTTGGGAGGTGTCTATAATCCATGAGATTATATGTTTTATATTCTCTAGTGGATACGTCGTCGAACTATGTATAACATGGTTTGCAGTCTGAGTCCTTTGACAAGGCATTTCTCTTCATTTGCCACTCTCCACCCCTGGCGTTATAATGGGTAACTTGCGTGATGGAACCGTGGGCTATAGAAATATCCAATGTTGTTTTTGTTCTTCTTACATTTTTTTCCTTCTTCTTCTTCTTTTTTTACTTCTTTTTTTCTTCTTCTTCTTCTCTTTCTTATCATCATCATTGTGATGTTTCCACGCGTCATTGTAGTATATTATCTTGAAAATCGACTTTCGAAAGATTCTACATCAATGGCATGGTGGACAACTACCCCAAGAAGACTAATTACTATGGCACGCTACCAGGAAAAGTACACGGGCTTCACAGCAACCGTAACGCCCATGCATTCACAGAATAAATCCTGCCAGGTATCCACTTACTATTCCTGGGTCGAGAGCAAATGTAGATTCGTGTCGGGCCAAAGGACGGCAGTGCTTCGGCGTGGATTTGAACCCCATACCTTGTGCTGTACAGTCAGGAGACGTATCCACTAGACTTCAACACCTCTATGCAATAGAAATATTACTTCGGAAAACTATCATTAAATTCATGTGAGTCCTAGGTATCTGAGGACACAATAGATTAGTTTTTAAAGGGTTTGATGCATTTCTTTCACATATTATTTGTGCATATGTAGGTAAACGGGATTCATACTGTCTTTGGTACATTATAATATAATTATAATAATTTTGTTTTTCATTGGAAACCTCGTCGCATCAATGCTGCTCTCCCTGAGGGCCCTGCAATTACTATCACACAACAGTTTCCATGTACCCATTTGCATCTGGGGTTAAGTGGCACATGTGGATTACGGCAATGCCGCGCTAGGATTCGAACCCTCAACCCTCGGACTGAGGGTCAAGTGAATGAACTTCTTTACCATGGCACCTCCACATTACAGTCGTTAATACCAAACCAACATAATAAATCAAGCACATAAACCATCTACATTCCCTGAGGAGTACTCCTACCTTGTAATCACTGCGGGGACGTAGGAATTAAAATCGGATAGGCATCTGGTGTCCCACAGGGTCCCTCTATTTCCCATAGGTACATAGCGGCAAATTCTGACCGATGTCTTGTCATCCGACTTAAGTTAAGAGCTTTAAAATAAAGGTTTTAATGCAACTAATTTATGTCTAGCTGTCGGCTGGTCTGTTAATTTGCATTTTCATCCTAAAATGTTGTGAGTTAATAATCGCTTTGGCGCCCGAATCAAGCTTAAGCGAATAAATATTCTCCAAGGCAATCCAATGTTTGTCAATTAAAAGATTGGCCAACGGAAAGTGTTCTTTTGGACCCGTATTCTACTGACAATTTGAACCCGAGTTTGGCCTTCAGCATTTGTCCAAAATCGTGATTAACTACGGACGCTAGTGTGATGTCGAAGTTTTGTTATACTTTTGTTATTCTTAGACCAATGCGTCGGCTTTAACGGAATTACTCGATTCGGACTTATGTCGACATTATTATGGTATAATACTGTAATTCTCAAATTAATCGTTTTAATGTTCAGACAGTGCTACAATTTTAGTGCGCGGCCATGAAGCTTCCCTACATTATTTTATCTGCGAAAGCTTTAATACTAAACACTATATGAAGCGATACCTGAATTTAGATTTCACCATAAACACCATGTCCTATGAAATATTAACATGTTTCAAACTGTGTCCTATTTGTACACCCATGGTTTTAACGAAGCGTACAAAAACAAAACACATTTAGTCGTATCCGTACACAGTGGCTGACATACCGTGGAGTACCAGCGTCATCGATGAACACACTCTGACATCTGATATCAATTAGGGACGCCCAAAATGCCATTATTCCCGCAATGACTTGAATTAATTTTTGTCTGATGCTCATTATTTGATCTTTCATTTACAGGCTATGGCCCCTTCCGTGCCATTGTGTTGACATATACGCTTTGCTTAAACTAACGTCGATGTTTTTTCTTCGAGCAAAGATACAGGTTCAGTTTGGAATATGTATCCTGCAAATATTGTTGTACGTACAATTTGTTAATTAAGCGAAGTGAAATAGAGTTTAATGAATTGAAATCTCACTCGTATAATTCATTCGTGAAACTTGTCCTCAAACTTGGTGACGAGTTGAGAAACCTAAAGTTACTTCAATTGAATGACTTGTGACATGGCTTGTGGCACATGGCAGGAGTTTGTTGCTAATCTATCAACATCAATCGGAAGGATTCTTGTGGAATGGGTTGATTCATGGTCTGAGCGTGTGCCATACTGATACCGGTTTCCTTGGAGTCTGGACCATCTCAGTCCATTGGTCCTGGCCGAGTCCTCCGGAATGAGGTCCAACCACTGTTTCTCCTATCTTCTCACATTGACCCAGAAGATCATAGTCCATCACGATCAGCTGAAATGCAATTAATAAATAAAAGTTTTTGTCTTCTTTCAAATAAAGTATGTATTCTTTTTGTTTATGGAGTATACTTATCATGAGTACAAATAGATACTGCTCCTATTCTTCCTCTTACTGCCTGTAATTATTTCCCTTTTATTACTTTTCTTTTACTATTCTATCACTACGGCTACGATCACTACTACTTTTACTATTACTAGGCCTACTTACACTACCTCCACTACTAACAACAACTCGAACCTTAGTAGAGTCATCGCCTTTTCTATGTAGAAATGGAAAATATTTTCAATGGTACACTTCATTCACAATATTTGAGATTCGCATACAACAAGGGAACTCCCAACTTTTAGATTTCGAAGTTCACTAATCCCCCTCCCAATCCTCCCCCTACCGAAACCGGCATTTGTCTGGATACCGCACTGGTGATAATTTATTTTAATGCTTAATGAGATATTCAGCCTTGATAGACAAAAAATCCAAAAGAAAGTAGAAGAATCAGAGAAGCAGTTGGCGATAGTTCAAACAAAATCTGACAAAAATAAGAAATGTATGACTTCTGGAAAGATTTGGTCACTATACATATGGAAGTTTTAATTGGCTGAATCGGTCATGTCACTGTTATGTAGGTCCGTAAATTTTTCGCATCTGTTTTTTTTTTTCAAGGTCCTTATTCAGAGGACCTACGGAAATTTATTATCCATAATATATGTGAGTAGTGCCCAAATGAAGAAGGCATTAGGAGGATAAACAAATATTACTAATATTTGTGTACACTAAAAAAAGGAGAGATCTCTGTCACAACGTCATTATCCACTGAAAGCATTGCCAATTTCAGATTCACATAGGTGCTGAACGTATCCCATAGTTAAAACATCATAACCGTCTTATTGTTTGTCCGACTTATTAAAAACTATCTCCGTTCTGTTTCTCTTATTTTTTCTGCTTTCATACAAATGAGCTTAATAAATGGTTGGATTGCCCTTCTAGACTCGTTTAGATATTAAATGGAAGACCGCGGTGGTCTTTTTATGAGGTAAATGTATAGGCTTCATATTTTTGTATCCATATTGCTTCGATTTTCCCATTTTCCCTCGCTGGAACATTGCCAGCACAAACCACTGACCTCTACCTCCTGGACGGATCATCGCCCATTCCCGTTCACTACACCTTACGTACTAAAAGGCTGTATTGTCTGAGCGTTCATGAATATTCATGTTTTTGCTTACCTCGGCAAAATGTTTGCTTTTATTAAATGGACAAATTACGGTGGGGGTTGGATGAAATGGACATAATGGACCAAGCAGAAGTGATCTATGATAATTCATGCTTCTTATCCTTCGTGTGCTTGACCTATAATCTTAAAATCGCTTGGCAAACTGAGTCCAAAGTTCGACTTGTTTCACATGTGTATTATAGGCAATAACGAGCTTGCCACCTATTTTGATCAAATTACGGTGGGTGAACTTTCAAAAGTCGATGGGACATGAGGGTTCCAATGAAAGAGCTTGTGATAACGTAAGTTTGGGTGGATGTGCTTTTCGTTTAAACAAAAAATGAATCGTTAACGATTTGTTTTGTACAATTCCATAGGCTAACGTGTATGGCTGCTGACTCTGACGATAGGGGGCGTTGTGAAATGAGACTAAACGGAGCTTTATGTGTACATATAGCTCCGTTGTACATGAAAAACTATAGGCCAATTACTCTCTTAAATGTAGATTATAAAATATTGTCGAAAGTATTAGCTACAAGGGTAAAGGAGGTATTGGAGGATATTATTCATTACGATCAGGTGGGCTATGTTAAAGATCGGAATATTGGGGAAGCGGTTCGGTTAATTGATGATACATTCTTTCAGTCCTTGTATCAGCCTGTAGGCTTTTTAATTGCCGTAGATTTTGAAAAGGCTTTCGATTGCATTTCCCATAAACTTTTATTTAAAGCTTTGGAACAGTTTGGGTTTGGTAAAGTTTTGTGTTCTTGGGTTAAAACCCTCCACACATAATGTTAGCAGTTGCGTGATGAACGGGGGACACTCAACAGGATATTTTGGAATTAATAGAGGGGTAAGACAAGGCGACCCCCTTTCTCCATATTTATTTGTAATAGTTATCGAATTACTAGCTCGTTATATTAGGAAAGATGAGAGCATTAAAGGGGTAGGATTCGGGAATAAAGAAATAAAGCAAGTTTTGTATGCAGATGATATTACATTGTTTTTAAAAAATATGGATTCAATTAATAAAGTGAAGAAAGTTTTCAAAAACTTTGAAAAAATAAGTGGATTGAAGATAAATATGGATAAGACAAATTTTATGTGGTTAGGAGAGGAAAGTGATAGGCCGGGTTTACCTTTTTTTGGACATAGGGTACAACATATAAAGATCCTAGGGGTATATTTCGCACGTCATTCCAAAATAAAAGATGATTTGAACTATAAGGAAATTTTGAGCAAAATCAAAAGACTAATCGGTTGGTGGAAGCAACGAGATTTAACGATGTTTGGCAAAATTAAATTGTTGAAGATATATGTATTTTCAAAACTAAATTATGTTTCGTCTATTATGACAGTCCCACAAAACATGTTTGAAGAAATCGAAAAGATTTCTTTTAATTTTATTTGGGGAGGGAGAGACAGAATAAAACGGAAAATATTATATCAAGATTACTGCGCTGGGGGACTCATATTTCTTTGTAATTATGATATAAATAAAATGGACTTGAAGGGTATACCATCTTTTTATAAAGACATGTTGAAGGCATGGCAAGAATTAGATAAATGCAGACACTTTGGAGAAAATAAGAATAATCCGATTATATTTAGCAATAAGTGTATATGTCTCAGCAATAAAACATTTTTTGATGTCGAACTATTTCAGAAAGGTATACTTCAAGCATCAGATATAATTGTCAGAGGTCATTTAAAACCGATCTTACATTTTTTAAATTTGGGTTTTGCAACTAAAAGCTTGCTTAGAATTCAAAAGATCTTTTCAGCAATCAGAAACGAATGGATACAAAGTGATTTTATGGAAGTAGACACTGAACATTTTGAAATAGAATTGATGATATTTGGACGTTTACAGAAACTATGTGATATAAAATCTAGGCGGTTATATGATTACTTCATTGAAGACCTTCAAAATGAGTATACATTACATGTTACAGATGGCAACTGTCAATTTGATCTTGGAATGACGGAGTTGAAAGAAACATTCACAAGGATGAAAGGTGCAATGCTTTGTAATAAACATAGAGAGTTTCAATACAAACAATTACAAGGGGCTGTATATACGAAAAGAGAGCTCTTTAAATTTGGTCAGACCATTTTTGTTCCTTTTGTAAACTAGAAGTAGAGACATACCAACATTTATTTTTAGATTGTCTTAAAGTTAAAAGATTATGGCAGGAGGTAATTCAAAAGTTACATTTAATCGAAATTGACATTGATGATTGGAAACCAATATTCATGGGAATATCCGGCAATACTACTAGAATATTTGTAATAAATTGTATCATAATTTTAGTAAAGTATATCATTTTTATTTCTAGAAAAGAAGGAACTTTGCCATCTGTACAGAAAACAGTACATATGCTTAAAAATTACAGAGACGAGGAATACAAAATAGCCTTCAAAAAGGGGAAACTGGGGATGCACTTACAGAAATGGGAACAAATCGATGCATTTTTACCTTAATGGATGTGGGTATTATGTGGGTATTATTATTATTAGTAGTATTATTAATTCTCTCTCGTGTACAGGTGGACAAACCGGAACAGGTTGCATGCAGCGTGTGTTTCGGCGTGAAGGGGGTGTGAGATGGGTGGGCTAGGGGGGGGGTGGAGATTTTGTGTGGTGTTAGTTGAGGGAACAGGTTGCATGCAGTGTGTGTTTGTGTTTGTATGGTTGTTTATGTGTGTGAAAGGGGGTGTGGTGTGGGTGGGCTAGAGGGGGGTGTGAGAGTGTTGGGATAGGATGGTAATATGTAACTTTAAACCTTCCTCTACTGTTATTTTGATTATACACTGTTTCATGCAAGACTTTCTTTCTTTTTTTTCTCCTTTTTTTCCCTCTATGTTCATTGATTAATGTAACTTATTAAATGTCTTGTATCAAAGATCTTGTTTTATATTGCTTATCTTGATAATTTCTTGCTATGTAAATTTCTTGCTATGTGAATTTATGAGGAAGGAAATAAAATATCATTTAAAACAAAAAAAAATCTACACTTTAAACCTTCCTCTACTGTTATTTTGATTATACACTGTTACATGCAAGAATTTGTTTTTCCTTTTTTTTCTATGTTCATTGATTGATGTAACTCATGAAGTGTCTTGTATCAAAGATCTTGTTTTATATTGCTTAATTTGATAATTTCTTGTTATGTGAATTTCTTGTTATGTGAAATTATGAGGAAGGAAATAAAATATATCATTTAAAAAAAAGAAAAATATGTGTTATAGCACAAAGCTCAGTGAATACGCGTAGAACCTTTTTGCCCTTCTTCCCATTAATTTTGCACGATATAAATCTTGGGGACGTTTCACAAAGATCCTAAGTCGAACTTAACTCTAAGTTGGACTTCAAAATTTATGAAGAGCCATTTGTAGCCTTAAAATAAAATATTTCCAAATGCAAAAATTGAAGTATTTAAGACTTTTCATAACTTCCACATAAAGAACATGAAATCTCCTTGATAATACAAAATATGAATGATTTGAATCAACATTTTATGCCTTTTAAAATATCTTTTACAAAACATTTTAATGATGCTAACGGCTTTCAATAATTGTTAAGTCCAACTTAGAGATAAGTTCAACTTAGGATCTTTGTGAAACACCCCCTGAACGAAACTCGTACGGGAATACAGCCTTACCTCTAAGCTACATGCGTTGAGTGCAGCAGCAGGTACGTTGAATATTATAGCCTCGTTCCATGTCGGATTGCAGTTGCATTTCCTGACGCTGGTTTTCTTTTTCTTCACCCTTCTGCCTCCCTGAAGCAAGGACACCTTCACGAATGGATCTATAAATAAGATGAAAATAGAAAAATACGATTTGAATTAATGAATAGATAAATACATGAATTAATAAATAGACAAATATATTTTTTAAAAAAAATAATAATGATATTTATAAAAAAAAAATGAACTACTAAGCGGTGACAAAACAATTAAATAATTAGACTGAAAAAAGTGTTTCGTTTGACCGTGTTTCAACTAAACGTTAAGGCAGCCGGCATCGTTAGGAAATTATGTAATATCATATTCGAAAAGCACTTCCCAGATAGTCAAACTCAATGCGAATTTACAAATTGTTCTCATGCATGAGTTTTAATGATGTAATGCTTTATTATATTAAGAACAAGTTTTCCTCTTATCATTATTATGATTTGCATATTTTAAGATGGAATGGGCTCCGTATCATCCGAATTTCCAATTATTTGACGCTCCCTACTAAAACGCTCGCCGCACATAACACAGCTGTTTGTATAGTTTCACGACTGATTTAAATAAATTAACCATATACGAGATTTCATACTACATTCTGAAAACAATATCAAAACGATAAATATACTAAAACAGCGCCATTTACCAGCACTATACACGTTCTCTTCACTTATAATTAATTTTATATTTTGCAAGGGATGAAGTAAAGAGTAAACGAATCACAGGTTGAATAGGCTAGTTGATACGTCTTCATATTCATTATCCCTGTTTCAATTTTTTTTATGAAAACAGGGACATTCGGGATAGCATGTATTCGGAATAATGAAAATTTGAGAAAAATCCCAACATGTAACCGCATTACGAGTTCATTCTACATCCTTTTTCATGCGAAAAAGACTTCTACATTGTTTTTACACAATGTGATACAATGTTAACATATGTAGAGACAGATATAAAGGGGCAGATATTCCAAAGAGGTTGACATTTATAATACAATTTTCATTTACCTTTGCCTAATTTACATTCACACTGTTTCATTTAATAGACATTTAAAAAATATGTTTAACTATTTTGAAAAATACAAACAATTTTGAATCAATTGAAAACGGGGAAACTAATTTATTAAACTTTAGGGGAAAAATGGGTTAAGGAAGCCTTAATCATGAATTACCCGAGCTTCCATTGATGTCCATTGTTTTAAGATTCCTAGCTTTAAGCACCACAACCGTCAGTCTCTCAGCTGTAGGCAGATAGCTGACTGAAAACAAAATGTCACCGAGTTCCTCCTTTCTCTGAAAACAAGCCAATAATATCTTGATTTGTTATTGTAATATGATTTATTTATTTATTTTATTTTTTATTTTTATTTTTTTTTACGAAAAAACTTTCATTACAATTAAATTACGATTTTTGAAATATGAGATATATTTCAATAATAATGTTGTGGCGGATAAGAAAATGATTGGAAAAATATAAAATAAAAACATCTTACGTCGAGCATTTGAGATAATAAGCAAGGTAGTCTGGGGAACAGTTAATAGGAGGTATTCTGGATACTTGGACTTGTTATAAATAATTAATAATAATAATAATGTCATAAAGAAATCAAGATTTATATCTTCTTTCATTTATTGCTCCTATAATGCATCTTGAACCAGAGGTGTAGGTTCGGAAGACGGGGGCATCGTTTATCTATTATTATATTAAGAAGAAAATAATGGAAAAGAAATGAAAAATAAGAGGAAAATAAGAAGAGGAAAAGGACAAATGAATATAGTATTGATAATAATATCAATTATTAATTAAATAATTATTGCAAGTAATGAAAAAAGGGTACACAGGTTAAATCTTAAGACTGGTTTTCAATTAGTCTGCAGTGACTGATGGAAGAACATGATGAAAGAACAAATCAATAAAATCAAGTAGAGAAGAATTTATTTAAAAAAGTAAGAAAAGGGATATTCCCTTGAGAAATTATTATCAAACCATCTGCCTTGTTTTTGAAGAAATGATTACCTCTTATGTTACACTAACCTGTTATAAAATACTAAAGAAGACAAGAACCTAAATCCATTTCACCCCTCCTCCCTCCCCCCCCCCCCTAAGTAAAGTAATGTAATATTGTGTTATAGTTATTCTATAGTTGTTGGACATTGTATTTTAATTGTATCATGTACTGTATTCATAGCTCTCTTGTAAAGCAGTCTTTTTGTACTGAGGAGACTGCCCTGGTAAAAACACAAATTAATTATTAGTATATTACAATGTATCGTATATGTTGTACCCCTTTTCATGTCTTTCTTGGAAAAAAGCATATAGTCTGGCGTGTTTATATAAAGACTTCCTTCGTGCGACATTCGTATGAATTGAAGGTATCTATCCATGTAAACAGGTCTGATATTAAAGTGAATAGATGAATGTGTGAACGAGCCCTGGTGAACACCTCGAGGGCTGGACGGCAGATGTTACTTGAATTTCTGATCAGTATTGTATCGATTTCTATAGTGCTGCCCTAGAGAATGTATCATGGCACACTGAACTATAATAAGACTTCTTACAATTTGATCGGAATGTACGATTTATTTGGGAGGATTGATGGCGGGATCGCACGGGGGAAGCAGTCAATATGAAATGGATATCGATAGATGAATATTGTTTCCTGCTTCAGCGGGTATCTTGCCAGTTGCACTCATCTGGAACCAGTTTTTAACATATGAACAGAAAGCGCAAAGGAAAATGTTTTAAATTTGACAGCTGAGACGGTGTAGTTCCTCTCCCAGCAATTTTCTTAATCCAATATTTGGATCTTAAATACACAAAAAAATTAAAGTGTTATTTTTGTTTCAGATATCGTCTGCTTTTCAACTATCTTGCAACCAGTTTGTAACATATGAACAGAAAACGCAAAGGAAAATGTTTTATATTTGAGAGCTGAGACCCAGTAGTTCCTCTCCCAGCAGTTTTTCTCAATCCAATATTTGGATCTTGAATACACAAAATTGCTAAAGTGTCATTTTGTTCAGACATTGTCGGCTTTTCAGAAAGAAAACATAAGACTTCCTGGCCTGAATGTAAAATGTTTAAGCAGAAAGAACAACCGAACGATCGTAACAATTGCTATTGTTTTATTATCCCATTCATAGCCAAGTTTGGATTTTTGTTTGTCTCAAGTTTCTTTTCGTCAGTTCATTTCTTGGCTTGATTTCCCTTCATTATTTTGTAGAGGTGCTGTGGTCGAGTGGATACGTCGCCGGACTGTCGATCACAAGGTCCGCGGTTCGAGTCCCACCGCCGCACTAATGTCCTTTGGCAAGACATTGATCTACATTTGCCACACTCCACCCAGGTGAAGTAACTGGGTACCTGGTAGAAATTTATTCCTTGAAATGCTAGAGCGCCGTATGGCAGCCGTGCTAAAGCCAGGGCAATAATTGGGAGAGCCAGGAGGGTCAAATCTGACTGACATGAGCGCTATACAAGAACCCACTATTATTATTATTATTTTATTTCCCCTACCGCTAGATTAAACAAAATGTTATTGAATGTGGGGTTTTATGTTGTGCCGCTTGTGTACTTACATTATTAATATATGTGGGGTAAGTGAGCGCGCGTGTGTGTGTGTGTTGAGGGGTGTATCCAAGATTGGTTATTAATGATGGAAATCCTCCACTTTGTGACTTAGTACATCAGATTCGGTATTAAATTCCCTAAAATATAAAAACGAATTTTTAAGAAAACACGTGCATATTTGTATATTAAGTAATGTCGTTCAGTGTCTAGAATTGAGAGGTCGATTAAATAAATGTTAACGATTCACTTGAAAAGCGGGCATTCCCCATGGTCAATAGATTTGGGGATATTAGGGGGGTCATTTGTCCACGTGCCGTCTACGAAATTGTCTACTGATTGAAGAATGGCTGCTAATTGGTGTAGCCTTTTCACAGAAACATCAGTTTGCAATCACGTGATCTTACCGACTGTGGTGACCTGAGTTCGCTCCACACATCTAGCTCACGTGACACATCTACGTCATTGATCCGGACCAATACCTCACCGATTGCATCATGGCGGGAAAACTTATCAAAGTCAAAGACTGAAAATCGGACGGTCTTTTCTTGCAGCTCTTCATATGTTGTAGGGAACTTAAAGATTTCATTCCACACCGGGTTTAGAGTCCGCCTCTGTAATAAGAGAGAGAGAGAGATAGAAAACAAAATAACAGAGAGCGAGAGAAAGAGATGCGATGAAACCAAATTAAATCATTTGTATCAATGCAATCTTTATTTGAGGAGTATACTCGTTTTATGGCAATTCAGGGATCAACCCATAAATGGCGTGTCGTACGATGTTTATAAAAAAAAACTTTTAATAATAATTTTATAGATATTACCTTTTTTTTAAATATGCCTTAGTGGTTTTTCGTTTTTTTATAATTTTACTTACACTGTGTGTCAACCTTTTTTTTGTTGTAAACAAGAGTGCGTTGTAGATACATTTAATGCTTTGTATCATCCCATTAGGTTTCCATTAAAGCATTGTTTGGAAGTATATACTTACTTGTACTACAGACTGTTTAATCTTTCTTTCCTCATCAGGTTCAAGGGATATCTTGACGTAGGGGTCACTAGAACCACCAATATCCATCGCGGGTAAGTGATCGGCTAGGATCATTGAGAAGGAAAAAATGAAGAAATTAATATTTAAAATTTGTAAATTTTAACCGTATTTCGTTTACAGTGGTTGGCATCTATGCAAAATGACCAAGAGTGGCTTTGATTTTTTTTTTGCACCGTGAATATTCAATATTATAACTATTGTTCTTATAATCATTATTGTTATTAAATTCATTATTATTATTATCAGATTAATCCAGATTATTATCATCGCCCTTATCCTCTCATTATCATTTTCATCTTCATCCTAATTATCATCAAAATCATCTCCACCCTCATTACCACCATTATAATCACCTATTGTCATTTATTTCATCGTCGATTGTACAAGAATAGTTTTCGATATCACAATTGAAATAAGATATGAGAAGCAACTGACAATAGAACAGCTTTACACAGACTAAACTACTGCGTTTTACGTATGATTTGCATCTAATAGGCGATTAGTTTCCACGTGGTATTACCATGGTAACGATCTGAAAATTAGCCTTGCCTGAGTGAAACCGATCCCTAGATGCTATCCCTAGATGCAGTACATTATGCAGAACTCTAATAATTTATCATAAAACCAGGGTAGTTATAATCTATCAAGTCTTTACCAAGAATTTATTATAATTATTTTTTTAACAAAGCGATCATGCACATAATCCAATTTTAGCGACTTCCAAGTTGTAGAAAGACTTATATATGACTTGGGAAACAAGGGCACTTGATAACTAAGGCTTACCTCCCCCTCTCCTCCCTCTCCTCCCTCTCCTCCCCCTCCTCCTTCCCCCTCCTTTATCTCTCTCTCTCTCTCTTCCCCCTTCTCTCCGTTCTTCCCCTTACACACAAATACACACACACGCACACCCCTTGATTATTTTTTTGTTACCACTGTGTCATACGTATGCTAGTAGTACTTTATCCCCCCCCCCCCCCTTTGTATATTTCTCTGTCTCTCTGTCTCCCTCTTCGCCTCTCTTTCTCTCTCTCTCCTTCTCTCTATATCCCTCTGCCCTGAACCATATATATATATATATATATATATATATATATGATCCATATTTGTTTTAATTTCCTCACTAAGTCCGTCTATAGCTTACAGGCGGGACGGACAAATACAGATTACCTAAATGTCAATCCTAAATGAAAATGGGGACGTTCAGCGATCTTACTCTCCTGTTCCGCGTTCACTTGGTTTGTGATGGGTTAAGTAGGGTTCGGATATTAAATCTATCCAGTCCTTCACATCATCCTAAAGGGTTAATACCCGACTGCATTGTTACGTCATGCCTACGCATTTATAAATTAAAGTCATGATGCGAGTAATTTTGATACCTAACTAACTCGTGAGACCATCGTCAACATGTTCATCAGTTGTATTAAGAAAGAGGTCTTTGTATTCTTATCGCAATATTTTGCAGAAATCCCTTTCGGCAAGTTTATCTAAAAATAGATGATTAAGTTTAATGATATTGGTGCGTGTATGGATCGTTGATTTAGAATTATACGTCAGTTTATAATAGACTTGCAGACAGGTGTTCTAAGGCCATGCGGATTCTGGGAGCACGTATGGAAGTAATTTGATACTCACCATGAAATTGCATTTTGATTATACATGAAATATTCCAAAGTTATTACAATCCATCGGATTCATTTGTGCTACAAAACATGATACCAACTTTCTTTTTAAAAACTCCTTTTGCATTCTTCTCCTTCCTTTCATTTCCTTTTTATTATTCATCTGTATAAACTCTTGTCTTTTCTTCTTCTTTTACAGTAAAATAAGAAGAAAAAAGAAGACTAAGCAGATTTAAATATATATATACATTTAGGTTAAAGCCCTTTGCTACCATCTTTATTTCTCTCAGTCTGTTTCCTTTTCTCTCCATCTATTTCTCTTTTCACCCTTTCTCACCTGTCTCTCTCTCTCTCTCTAATTTTCTTTTTGTGTTATCCCATCCCCTACCCACACCCTTCTTCTCCCTCTCTCTCTCTCTCTCTCTCTCTCTCTCTCTCTTTATAATTTAATATTCTTTGTTTAACCCAGTCAGCTGCCATTCAAGAATGTTGTAGTGCACGCCTGCAACTCTCACACCTATTACAGACCCTTGACCGATATTTAGATCAAGTGCATTTTCTTCAATGACCCTTATTACTTTTCTTTTTAATTCCTTCGCCTTCCGTTTGTCATTTTATTACATTTCGATTCCTCCAACCGTGTCCTTGCTATAACTGACTGTCACCTTTTTAATTAATAATAATAATAATAAAAAGAAGAAGAAGAAGAAGAAGAAGAAGATGGAGAAGAAGAAGAATTGTAGAGGTTTATGTGTTCAGATCTGTTTTAAAGAAGTAAAGAAAAGTAAATTGATTACATTATTTTTTACATTTTGTCTGTAATCATACACAGTTCGGAGGGGAATAATAAGTTAATACCGCATGGCTTTTATCTTGTTATGAAAATCGCATTTTGCATGTCTTGTTGTACTTAGGGACCCTAAAACCTATTACTTCGTAGTTATGTTAACTATTATGTCCCGGTAAATGGAAATATTATATCGCCTTATGAAAACTTAAAGCAAGTTGAACAATTAAACGGAAAGATTAAACGTCAGGGCTTGGGATCATTAATACTTTCTGATTAATGGCTTTAATACAAATTGGCTTAGACAAAAGCATTAAGATAGATCTGGATAAATGGATTACAGTGTCTGAGACATATGATATATCACTTAGATAACAGACGACTGACACACGTCCCAAAGTCAAATTCTCGTAATGTAGTCAGACTACTAATTGCAAACATCTTTGTTAAAGAGAAGGTTGAGTTCTGGGAAGAGGTGAAAAATATTTTGTGAGCGTTATCATTCTTATTATGCAAGTGTGGAAGAACATCAGATAAGACATGTTCCCTGAAAAGCATGGCTCTTCAAATGCCTTCATATTCTAAATATGTCATGTAACATCATAAAAATCCGGGTAGTATTTTTACCCCATGTGTTCGTGTAGTCCCATATACATCTTTCTGTGTACAGTGTTTGTAACGTTACCAAGACTTGGCCAATTTTCTTATCATTTTGATGATTCCAGAGCCTTGCAATACACACAAATTCTTATATGCTAGATGATCAACCTTTTCTGGTCGATTCCACACCGTTTCTTTCACAATACAATCACATGACCAGAACTCAACTTCATCTTTAAGTCCTCGGTACGAATTATTGTATTCCAATGGTCAGAATTGCAATATTACCTGGTGTGAGGTAGGACAAGCTATAATATTTGCACAACGTAGCAACGATTTATGAATGCAATTTGCTTTTTGACTTTTGAGATACAATGATAAATATGAAATTAATAGTTCGTTGCTACATAAACTTGAATAAACTCTGACATTGGTTTATGTTTTCTTCTTTTTATGTATTTATGTCTTCTTTCTCGCTACTGCATCACATACTAACGCAGATCATATCAAATCGCACACACACACGCGCGCACGCACCCAAACTATCTCCATCTCATCATCTTACATGTATCTGTGTCTAAACCTCTGTCACTCGTCATTTGTCTGGCGTTATCTCTTTTCCTCTCCTGTCCCTATCTGATGTTCTCTCTTTCTCTACCCCCTCCCCCTCCCCACTCCTCCACTCCACCCCTACACCCCTCTCTTGATATCATCCTCATCTTCCCTATCTACATGTAACCTCTCTCCCATTACCTGTGGCAAATCGTTAGTAACCCTTTTAATGTCGATAATCTGACAAGCCTACTGAATCTTCTTTCAGGGTCAATGCACTCTGCCTAATGGTGTTACCCTCATTTATAGGCCGATAACTTACTTAATTCTAAATCACATTTAAACATAAACCGGAAACTGTTAATAGTTGGTTGTTTGTGAACCTATATGTGTACACGGTGGAAGAACATGCCGTGACTTGGTAATCTCTCTTAGACCGAACTGTTTCTTACATGTTTTTTATTATGTTAAATTCACATTTAGATAACTATAATTCAGAATGTACCGGACCATGGCTGCGAACAAAATCCCGTACAAAACGATTAAGGTTATTTATATGCAGCACAAGAAATTAAACCCCTTGTGCTACATTTTGTTTATCTTGAGGAATACAATAATAATAATAATAATAACATTTATAATGCGCACATATCCGCCCCAAGGGATGCTCAAGGAGCCTTAACAAATTTGAGAAATTATTACGGCGCTCTAGCATTTAAAGGAATTAATTCCTGCCAGGTTTCCATTCATATCACCTGGGTTGAGCTTGGCAAATGTAGATCAATGTCTTGCCAAAGGACATTAGTGCCGAAGATATAAAGATAATTTGTCCGTTTCCAGTGCAAGATTAATGTGTACCGGTGTTAAAAAGGTTTGTCATGGAGACCGGAAATTTGAAAATTCGCTAACCCATTGTGTTACGCAAAGCAATCCTTCGGTCAATGCCTCTCATGTTGTGTAAATTTCCATGTATGGCCAACGAGCGACTTTGTAGAAAGCCAAAGGCGCAACCAAAGTGTTAAAAAATGAGAAATACTATTCATTTGTAGCCTTAGTACTAATGGCTAATAAAGAAATTGTAAATTACGTAGAATAACTAGCCTACTAACATGATAGTTGCAATACTCTGTAATCAACAGCAGTACGATATTATCTTCTAGACTTGTTTTATTTCCCCCTTATTCTAGGTTAATTTGACTGTTATCTATTCCAAAGATGGGTGACTCCAAGTTCAAGGGATGTTAAATAATCAACAACTAGTCGGTAAAGTAAAATTTTGTTTAAATCTTTCTTGAAACGGCTTTGAAATGTCCTTTTCGCCATTCCGCATTTTCTTCAAGCGTTTATAGTGAGCTTTCCTGTAAAAGTTCTGCATTAATTATTTGCTCTTTTTTTTTTGGAAAAAACAGAGGACCTACTACAGGTTGTCCTTGTATGAATGTCATCGACAAAAATTCAGGTTTTAGAGTAACACGATTGCGACGACTTGGACAAATTAGCTGAGGCAATTTCAGTAGCCTTGTCATTCTTATTTGTATATATTTAAACAATAACCTACTACGAAATTCGAACATCTGAACATCTCTATAGGACCGTAATGGAATTGACCTTGAGTTGATTTTCAAAAGCCTTTGCAAAAAGGACTATTGATCTTACCTTCGACCACTTTGATGACAAAGTCGGATGTATTGAAGTCATATTTAAGTTTGACGTGAAGCCGTCCAATCTTCTTGCCTTGTTTGGAACGGATAGTCGAACCGCTGATTCCATACTGGTCCGACTGATTCATCACCAGTCGGTCATCTCTCCTTGGATACAATTCCGGTTTGACGGTGCCGAATTCAGATTCGAATGAACCGCTAAATGAGCCATTGTGGCTGGAGTCACTCGTACTGAGACTGTTCAGCTCCGGATCGGACCGGTTTGGAGATTCGATCTTCTGTGGAGGTGACTGGATACGGTTAGCGATGGGCTGAACGGCTATCCTTTCTTTAGGAATGAAGAAATTCTGGAAGAGATGACATAATGATTTACAAGAGAGGTTATCAAACGAAAAAAGAAAATCGACATTATTTCAATTTTCCAAACAAACACAAACCAAAAATAATGATACAAATGGTTGTAATATTTTAAATATTAAAAGTGTTCACGTGACTTGTTCCTTTTTGTTTATGCAAATTAATGAGCACTATGGAGAACCATTAACATTGTGCAGAATGCGCTGTGAATGTTTTATTTTATCCCGTTTTTCATAATTGATTGATCAAAAAACAATAATCGAACACGATCGAATAAGCTATAGAAATTGCACGTATGTGTGCATTCACGATTTGCAATCTTTTCATCAAAAGGACTCGGAAATGGATATTAAAATACAGTGCGTCCCAGAAAAAACGAACCCGAGAATTATCGATGTTTTATCATAACTTGATAAATGACATATATTTGGAAAGTTTAGATCCTCTTCTGTCATTTGATGCAACTCATATAATACATATTTCACGCATGAGCGATTGAAATGAATTTGAAGAGAGGAAACCAAAAAGTCATTTGGCGGACGGTATCTGAATTTCAAGAATAAAATCACATTTCTAGAAAGTTGAATATCTGCCCTTTCATATGACACCTCAATCAGGAAAAATGAGCAAGGAATGACAAAGTTCTGTTTGTTTAAAGTAGTGATTGCATTTCTATAATTTTATCAAACGCCTTCGTTTTCACTGGGTGCCTGACGTAGCAACAAACAGAGTTGAAAAAAGACTTAATTCCATTTCGTTGACAATCAGCCGTAGACGAAAGACTTAATGCATGGCTGACTGTCAACGAAACGGAGTTAAGTATCGTTTTTCCTGGGACGCACTGTATAACAATCCGAAGATGTATGGCTCACTCCAAACAACACCAAGCTCCATGAATAAGCGTGAGCGAAAATCATGTCAGAAGTGTATGTTTAAAATTATAATCTATAGGATCTGGTAATGACTCTCAAAGAAATGAAAAACAAAGACAAAGCAAGACGTTTGTGCTTGTTTTTGGCGTACGAGAACAGACACGTAGATGTTGCTAGGAAACCACCCTACCTCTGGCAAGGTCGCAGAAAAACAAGGTCACGTAATCAGACACTAGACGATCATTGGCCGGGAGGGAAAAGGAAAATCTCTTTTTCTTGTTCTTCTCAAACAAAACGATAATTGTCTTTCTTAAGAAATGCCCTATTTTTCTTATTTGCAAAAATGTATCGTTTTAATTAGCACAATCCAACCACAAAAGAAGGATGTTATTATGTAAGTGTTACTAAAATTAATAAAGGTTAGTTCATTACCATTGTGATCATACAGATCTGGAATGGAAATCCATTTGGGGGATTTATATTAAGGAATACCTTAATGGGGGTTGAATCCATGCTCACAATAATGAACTCAACTATCAATAAAATATTGGACCACTGCTTAAGAGTGTATTCCATTATAATGTGGAGTGAATTCAATACCAAAAACAGCGATCCTTATACAAAATTACTCCAAAACCACTGGATTTTCACTCATCTGTAGAGTAAAGCCTAGCGTACACTATATGATCTAACTGCGATGAGGCTTTGGAAGTCATGTATTAATTGGATAAATATAAAACTCTTTGTGGGAGGGAAAGCCCGAATCGTAGTGTTGTCGGGTTTTGTTTTCGCGATCTCCTACGATTTGAAAAAACTAAGACCAAATAACAAAATTGAAGTGTTCTTCTTTCTGCCTGCATCCCTTTTGGCCGCCAGCTCCTTTTTTCCTACTATTATCTATTCAGAGAAAAGCCAGACAAAATGAAAAAAGGCCTGTGATAGACATTTTGTTTAAATAGCTTCTTAAGTGAAACAAATCATATGTGTTGTCATACATTGCATCCGTATACTTGCATAGCACAATATCTGTGAATAAATAGGCTTGGCCAGCTTTAATAAACATGGCAGCCATCTTGGAAAAAATAGCAAAACAAATGGAAAAAAAATAGCAAAAAAGTAAATAGTAATGCACTGCTTCCCCGTTTTTTTGTACAGTCCAAACGAAACACGTTATTTCTGTAATTTGGCCTTATGTTCACCAAAATTTCAGTTTAATAGTGGTATTGCTATCTTTTTACAGAACCCCAATCAGGAAGGACTTATCACTATGAATATGACGGACAAAGAAAGAGGACTAAATATACAGTTCCTCATTCTACCCTCAAAAATTGCTGTGGTAGACAAAGTATTCACTGCTATTGTGTAAAAATGTGTAGAACAGGTGAATATGCAGGTGCGCCTGTTCTACACATTTTTTTTTACATAATAGCAGTGAAGGGATGTTCCTTTGTTGAGGGTAGAATGAGAAACTGTATATTTTGTCCTCTTTCTTTGTCCGTCATATTCATAGTGTATGGTGTATATTGGGCTTAAGAAGAGATAATACCTTGGGCGGTTCAGCAATGTTAATAGTTCCGGCTGCTTCTTGCTGCTCTCTAAGAGTCTTCTCCTTACATCGTGCGCATGCGCGTGAGTAGGTGTAGACAGCGTAGAGGGAGATGAGGAAGAGGGCTCCACCTATACCGCATGCGATACCGAGTATGATGGTCGTAGACAACATTTTTCTCTCGGGGTCGATCTATTGAGAAACATTTGATGAAAGAAGAAAAGTAAATGTAAATTGAATTGTTATAAATTAATAAAATGGGACGGCAACAAGGTTAAGTCTACAGCAAAATTAAGCCTTGTTAAGAAATGGTGCGGTTAGCCACCACCAAGAAAAACAAACACAGAAGGTTGTTTTATATTTGTATTGTGTTTACAATAAATAAATGACAATTGCGCAGAACAAATGTCCGGCGCGTATTCACTGACGCTTGTATTTTACTGCACTGAAATATGAGAGGTATTACACTTTACGTCATCACAAAAAAGCCGGCGCGAGTTTGCCTCGTCATACATAAACAAACATCGATGGTGTCCATCATAAGAACAAAAATACTAAACAAAAAATGTGCTCACTCGCCTTGCTGCTAAATAGGCGTACGGACACATTATCGCAAAGGGGTGTAGCGACGCCTTTTAACCCAATGTCAACTCAGTTTCTTAATTTCCCACCCCTCAGCGAAACTAAAGTTGTGCACAGAGACTATTGGGCCATCTCGTAGCCCGATTACGATGATAGGCTATTTGGGCTCCTCGCTACACTAATATGAGCAAATTTGGGCACATCGTCTCCAGAATTGGACGTGAAAGTTGAATTCCCGGAGCCCCTCCCCCCCCCCCCCTGTATACGCCTACGCTGCAAGATTATTCTTTTCTTTTCTTTTAAGAATCTACAGACAGTGCTTGTGAGCACTTTTAAAGACAAGTTAAATGTCAACTGCAATCCAAAGATTAAGTGTTTGTTCACCCAGAGTTTTTTAATAATATTCCTTAAGATCACAAATTTGAAGGATGAATCGGATGATATCTTGTAGGAAATATTGACAAGTAGATAGGATTTATCACTGTAATATCAAAAGCTACTGTAGTAATGAAAGCATTTTATTCGACACTTAACTGGTGATGTAATTCCACAATAAATCAGACGACATATGTTCATGATTTTGTTTAGTCTTGTTGATAACGTTTATGAGACATATTTTGAATGTTCCTTTAGAGATAATATTTCTGAATTATGAGCGTCATAATAAATCTCTTTCAGCACATGACTTATAAACAATTATGCGTGATGTGTTACAGTATGATTATGAATAAGTTAATCCATGCTTATGGTCAATCCACTCTCCAATCGCTCTTTATGTTTCGCTATAACGACAATCTCTTGCCCAACTGCTTTTCTAACATGTTTCGGCGAAATGCTGATATTCACTCTTATCCCACGAGGCAAGCAGCCAATCTTTATCTTCCGTTTTCTGCCTTTCTTTCAACACTTCTCTTTCTTGCCCAATTTTGAACACAACTTTCCCGTCGTGGAAAGATTTCATCACGCCAAACGATTATGTGGTCACTTGGGAAATATATAAAGAAAGAGATATCCGGCTCACTTGTATACGTTCAAGAAGAAGAGACAGTTTCGCATGACAACGTTTTTATCATCTTTCAGAAACGCCTTAACGACAATATCTAATAAATTGAATTTTCGGGCCATCATTTTTCCCCGAAGAGTATAAGAATACGGATGCGAGTCACACACATTAAACGACATCATTTTATATTGAGTACAGAGAACGACACCTAAGTACTTTGACTTGAAAACACATTTAAACAAGTATACTTTCAGTTTGAGCATATTTTACATTATAATATGTAGTGCATCGTTCCAAGCGTTATTTTCTTTTTTTCATGTCAATTTCTTCAAGAATTTTCTTTCAGAAAAGCATCAATCCCCCCCCCCCCCCCGATTTAACTCTCTCTCTCTCTCTCTCTCTCTCTCTCTCTCTCTCCCTCTCTCTGACTCTCATTATACCTTCTATCTTTCACTCTGTATCTGTACTCATCAATTTACTTCCAGGCTGTTTCCGTCTATTTGTCCCTATCGTTTTCTCTTCTGTTTCTGTGTCGTTGACGTCACTCCGTGCTCATACACCACTTTCCCTCCCTTCTCTCCCTCTCTCTCTATCTCTCTCTCTCTCTCTCTCTCTCTCTATCTCTCCCTTTCTCCGTCTCTGTCTCTGTATTCGTCTTTCTCCCTCAAAAATAAGTGTTTACCTTGTAATGTCATTCTAAAGCCCTTTCACAGGACCCCCCCCCCCCCCCGTCTCTGCCTGCCTGTCTGTGGCTCTATCTTCTGTGCCTCTCTCTGTCCATTTTTCCCTCACCCATTAGTATCTACCTTGTAGTGTCATTCTAAATCTCTTTCACACGAACGTCTGCCAATCAAACTGTCCGATTCGAGTCCCTATTTACAAAATTACATTTACGAGCCGTCTTCAGCCAGGTATTACACCTATAGTCCCACGAACTCATATATCCGTTGGTTTCATACCTGGCTTCACGCTGACCCGACACTCGTGCCGAGGATAAATCAGGTTGACTTGAATACTAATTTGCTAATGGCTTCTCTAGGACAAGACTCGACCTACATACTAGACACTTCTTCCGATGTTTATTTCAATGGCAGGCCGATATTTCATTCCTTGGATCTTTTTATTTCATATACATTTCGAGTTCAGAACTAAGCCCATTTATACCTTTATTCTCGAAAATTTGGGTCACTCAAACAGGAAAGTTTAAAATTTCAATTCGCTTAATCTCCTCTACCCCTTTTGTATATTAATTTGTCTCACCTTCTGCGGATGTTTACGAAAACTAGCTTATTCTGTCCACCAATTTCTAATTCTATTTCACTTTATTTCTTAATTTGTTAATGATTTTAATACTTTTAAGGTCAATGATAGCAATTTAAAAAAATTAAAAACCACATGCTGAACATCGATAAACCTATACCATTTGCAGCTGAATAATAAATTATACATATTCCCGTCAGTACAACTTTCTTCAACATGTGTTTGCGCATTTTCTAATCAATATTATGCTATTTCCGAAACTAATAGAATGGTGATAAAGAGATTAGAAGATTGTTATGAACACTATAATGACCATTTAAACCATTTAATGAATAAAATAAACGTACAAAGATAATTTAAGGAATGAAAACGACAATGGCAGATCTACGAGCTTATTGATCCTGTTTATTTTCTCTGTCTGTCCTTCAACCCCCCCCCCCTCCCTTCTTTATATAGGCCTAAATTGCATTAGCTCACAATATATAGTACTTGATTATTCATTATGGTTCTTTCAAATCGTTCGCATACGTACCGTAAATATAATAACCATGTTAACAGTGGCACACTTATGTCTAGTCTTATTTCGCTGAAATCAAATTTATATTCCCATTGAACCCGTAAACTACACCATGCCAGATACTCCGTGGGCGCAGCGAACTTGAAACCCCTTGGTGGTAGTTGAAGGTGAATTATACACATTTTCCATATAATATTAACATTTAACAAACTACATAGTTGTTGTTTCATTACCTTTCCAACGCTTAAAGCTAAGAGTTTATTACAAATACTGCAAACTAATTTGAAAGGAAATTTTGTTTACAGAAATTAATAATGGAATGATTTTAGTACACACTTCATGATTATACTTGAGACTGAAACGGAAAAATTTACTGCTGTATTGAATTAAGGTAAGAGGTAAGAATACAAGTTGTATTAATTGAATTGATGTATTTTCCATAACAAATGGAAATTAATTGTTCACTGGTACATGTGTGTTACAAAGAAATGTAAAAAATTATACAAAGTCACGAAGAAAATATGTAATCACGGCGAAGGGGAGAAAAAGAGGAGACGTGTTTTTATCTTTGATCGAATCTTGGGGGAATCAATTACAAGTGGCATTTCGAAGGAGCTTTCCAAGTAGTGCGGGCGTTTGTTTAGCTTGTGGCGCAATGGATAATGGCATGAATCGATTCTAAAGTAACGTCTGTGTATTGACATCAACTTACCAAGAGGGAGTAAGTCGATGCTGACAACCAGGTCAAAATATCTGCCCGAAGATTCAGATTTTTTTTTTTTTTTTTTTTTTGCTCGAAATTCTATAATATCTTCTGTTTCTTGTTGGATGTTTTTGTTAGATCCTTTCGAAAAATGTGTCGGCCAAACGCTACGCCCCTAACATGATTAGTCACACCAGAAGAATCAACTATCTAAAAATCGGCAGCTGAATGGGGCTGAGCATTTTTGTTAAACTGTGTTATTGTATTTATTATTTCCATTATGTTTCACTATGAGGATACTTTGTTGTTTTCGCTCAGATCGTGCCCCTTTTTGGTCATATATACAGTACGTTTCACACAGCACAGTTATATGTAAGCTATCATGTAATTAGTTTGTTGCGGTAAGTTTCAAACCTTTTTAACTCCCCAATTCCTTTTTTTTTTTTCCTTTCTTCTTCTACTCTTCTTTTCGTCCTTATATAATTATAGTGTATTCTTCTAATAAGGCGTAATCGATAAAAGCTTTATGCTTTGAGGAAGCACCCCGTTTTCCCTGTGTGAAAAATGTTACTCTGCTCTGTTATTAAAATTGATTATGACATTATTTTTGTGCAAATGTATTACTTGAGCACTTTTTTAATATGAAAAAAGGGAATTGCAAGAAATTAAATGTTATTATGAATTAAAAAAAAATTTTGTCAATGCATTGAATATATACACGATTCCTCTTCCTTTCACTCGTGAGCAGAGTGTACAGATCATTGTTAGTAGTCACGTGTAATACTCATGTTTGCAAGCATCAACCCGTCACTTGATCCAGGCCGTATCGTCCCGCTTGTGCTTAGCTGTCAACCCGATCCTCACCCCTGGGCTTCAATACTACACTCAAATTACCATTACGAAAGAAGAGAGCGGAAAATGGCGTCTCACTACTAGATTAAACCAACCACTCTACATATACTTCACATCTTATGGCAATGGCACGGACAAACCTATATCTATCTGCATCATGTACATATGTAAAACATGACGAAGGACGTGGGCAATGGACTTCATTCATTTTCGTTCAGCATTGAAAATCTATGTGTCTTGGTAAAAATAAAAAATAAATTAATGAAAGAAAGAG